TGGTGAGTGAAATAGACAAGAGAAATTCTAGAAGGGGAAAGGAAGCCTTGCCACAGGTGCCCAGGCACAGCAGGTGGTAGAAAAATGGATCAGCCTGACCCACCAACTGGATGGTTTTGTATCCTCCAGATGTAGCTCCTCCATCCCCACCTGCCCAGGCAGACAAGAAGCCTCAGATGGGAAGGGATGCTCTGAGGCTGGGTGGGAGACATGACCCAGGTGCAGGGCTTCTGAGCTGCCCCACAGAAGAAGGCACTCGGATGTTGGCTCAAGGGGGACAGTGGGAGGAGGCTTTTGAGCCACCTGACCATCTTATGCATCGAATGTGAAGGCAGAGGCCTGTAGCATGCCAGAGGCTGACCCCTGACCATTTCATCTCTATTTTCCAACATTTTGACCAGGGAAGCTATTTTTAATGTCATTACTGTCTCTTCGCTCTAGTATTTCTCAGCACTCACACAAAGAAAGCAAAGAATCGAGTAGTCCCCGGTACCCCTAAATCCCTGAAAAACTGCAGTTGCATGTGCTAACCTCACTCTCTGACTGCAGACCCAGCCGGAAGCCCCCTGGAGCCAGGCCCCAAGCTCCCCTCTGTGAGCTCCGCCCACTCAGGTAAGGCCCCTGCATGAGGTGATAGGGTGGATAGGGGCGAGGAGGGGATGGGGCATGGTGTTGCTGGGCCCTCTGAGGGGGTGGAGAATCACAGAATGGGGACACCTAAGGGTGATGGATGGTCTGAGACTTTTCCTTTGTGGAAGCAAATCCTATCAGGAGAGGGTATAAGAAAGATGAGCCCAGGTGGGCCTCTGCCTCTCCAGAGAGGGGCAGGTAAAAACACATATCTGGTGAGCAGCACACTCAGGTTTTGTGCCTGGGAACCTTCCAACCGTGTCTGACCACCGTCGGGAGGTCTGGCGACCCTGACCTCTCAACACTGATGAATAACAGCGCAGGGACACCCTCACCACTGAGTGCTCATGGCAGTTCTGCAGGGCCAGAATCTTCCTTGTAGGCTGTTGCACGCACCTCCTAACAACCCTAGGAGGAAATTGCTAATATCACCACTGTTCAGGTGTGGAAACTGAGGCAGAGAGAGGAGGTCACCTTCCCCAGGTGATGCAGGCAGTAAGTGACAGATGCTGAAATTTAAAAGTAACATAACATCTGTCTGCCCAACTCAGTGTTAGAGGAGGGTGACCCACCACCTCTCTCTGCACAGGACAGAGTCAGCGGACCTCCCAACTGCACCCCAGGTCAATGTGTGAAAACCAAGCCTCACTTTCCTAACTGTTAAAATGGTAGTGAGGACCAAATGAGATGGGGTGCATGAGGGAGCCTGGCAAGTCCCCCGTCCCACGAGGGAGGCTGTTTTCACTGCTGCCACTGCTGCCACTGCTGCCACTGCTGCCGCTGCTGCCACTGCTGCCGCTGCTTTTGCTGTTTTTGGTCTTGTAGTTACAAGGTTGCTGGCTCCTGATCTGCACTGTGCCCCACCTGGGTGGCACCAACCACATGAGCCTGTCTGTTGGGCCCATTCTAACATCTCCTTGTCAGGGCTGGGATCTCCCTCAAATCTGAGAGCATTGGTTCTCCAAGTGTGATCCTCAGACCAGCAGCAGCAACAGCTCCTGGAAATTTTTTAGGAATGCAAACTCTCAGGCCCCTCCATAGACTTCCTGTATCAGAAACTTTGGGGATTGAGGCTCAGGAGTCAGGGTTTTAACCAGCCTTCCAGGATATTGTGTTGTACATGAAAGTTTGAGAACCACTGCCCTACAGAAAATAACTACCAGTGCCTTAACACCACTTGTACCTCTGCAGTGGCCTTGAGAAGGAAGTTTGAAGAATAGATTAAGGGTCAGGAGTGATGAGCAGGAACAAAGTTAACAGGATACTGCACAAGCCAGAATGGGAGATGAAGGCCCAAGTCAGGCATGACAGGAGGAAAACAGAAGTGAAAGAGGGAGCTGATTGAAGAAACATTCGATATTTAAGGGGCAGGAAAGTACAATGCTCGTGCTAGAACGCAACTTCTGAATAACACCATGTCCGGTCTCACCCAGACCAATTTCATCAGAATCTCAGGGGTGTGGGGCCCAGGCATCCATAGCCCTGAAATGTCACCCACCAGGTGATGCCCAGCACATGGC